GAAAAATACGGTAGTAAAAGTTCTCTATCTAAGGAAGCAGCATATTGTGTTGAATCGTCACGTCATCGCAGTCTCCCATCCTGAACAAGCACAAAGGAAACAGTGAACAACAAACAACAACAAAGTAAACAATTCAGAAGTTTTTGATCAAATCCGATCTTCTGATGACGTGCTGATGTGCTACATTACAAAAGAACATGAGCTCTGGAGAGCCCTGCGTCGCTCAGCAGTGACAAGACGGCGCCCCTCACCCTGTAACTGTGGAACAACTCGATGGCGCGGAGGACGTCGAACTTTCGAGCCATGAGGAACTTGACGGCCAGTTCCCTGGACAGCGGCGAAACCCCGTGCTGACTGGTCCACTTGTTGATTTCCTCCAGAAACTGCCTGGTTGCCTGAAACAGATGAGACGTGGCGTCACGAACAATGTGCTACCACAATCCCAAGGGTCAAGTGGGACAGGAAGTGAAAACGTGTCCACGCACGCACACACCGAGGTACAAACGGACATGTGGGAAATGTATTTAGGAGAACAGAATCTGGAACAGATGGAGTTTCAAAACAACACACTCCACAGGCCTTGAACAGAACCCAGACTCAAAGCTAGCAGGATAAAAATAGCAGAGGAAGTTCTTTATTTGCTCAGATGAGAGGACGTCACCGTTGGAATGAAAACAAAAAGGCGGATTTGCTTTGCAACATAGATTTGGTAAATCCTACAGAGCCTCACAACCCCCGTCCCAGAGGGCCAATTTGACCTTCATGAGCCTGAGAGGTCACACACACATCATCTGCATAAACACAAATAAGAGCTTGAAAAAGGAGATTTTGTTGGATCAACATTTTGACATCCATCCATCTTCACTCGCTTCTTCCTTTTCGGGCCACGGGGGTCACTGGTGCCCATATCCAGTAACTATGCGAGAGGTGGGGGACACCCTGGACAGGTCTCCAGTCCATCACAGGGACGCACAGACAAACGAGACAAACAACCATTCTCTCTCTCACCTAGGGATAATTAGTTATCAATCAGTCTAACATGCATGTTTTTGGTATGGGGGAGGAAACTGGAGTACCTGGAGAAAACCCACGCATGCACGGAGAGAACATGCAAACTCCCCCCAGAAAGGTCCTCAGCTGGGATTTGATCTGGCGACGTGTTCGCTGAGAGGCGGCTCCTCTACCAACTGTGCCACCGTGCTGCCCTAATATTGTGTACCTAAAGGTGTACTGATACTCTGAGGTACTGTATGTGTTGGGCATGACTCTCAGGTACAAGCACCACATTTTAGATAAACATCAGTAAAATTTACTGAGTTAGACATGTTTTTGTTGGCTAAAGTTCAATAGCCGTCGCTCCTTGAGAGTCACTGAAATCATTCATGAGATATTTTGTTCACAGACAAACACACATAGGCAAAAACAGTATCACCCACCTTTCACCTTTGGCAACAGGTGATATACTTTAGGCATGGCTGGTACAGGTGCTCTGCTAAAGCCAAAGGTGACACCATGAATTTTTGACCTGTCCCTCCCTCTGTGAATGTTGTGAGCACGAGAACTTAAAATATAAGCGAGGTATTGACTTCCATTTTGGTATGTAGCTGTATGTAGCATTTAGATGTTAAAAAATGTCCCCGTCAAAACTTTTGTTGCAAAGTCAAAATCCAAGATGGCCACTACCAAATAAATGTAAACTCTTATTGTTTGAGAAAACTATGGGTAGATTTTTTTTTATTGCTTAAACGTATAGTTTCCTTAAACCACAGGAATGGCCAGAGATTAATCTATACTGGCTGAGGCCACCATTGGCCACCCCCTGGCTCCGCCATTGCACCTGCTGGTGGATAAAATGGCTCCCTCCTGTCACTCTGCACTGCCTTGGACAAAACAAAAAACCTACATCTATTTGGAAACTTTTACTTTTCAAATCCCCAGGGGCTGGGGGGGGGGGGGGGGGGAATCGACATACCCCTTTGTTTTGAGGGTAAAAAGAGGGTTCAAGTCATTTATCATCTGTTAAAATGCACATTTATCTTTACATGTTTAAAATGACAGTTTTACTATAGAGGCCATTGAGCCCCGTCACACAGAACTCCTGCATTTAACTGGATTCCTGCCACTCTAATGGATTACACACTCCCCCACCACACACACCCAAGCACCTGAAAAGTGGTGTGTCAACACCTCAGCCGGCTGCAGAGGAAGCAAATGAAAGCTCAGGGTTGAGACAGCGGCGGCGGAGTCTTACACAGAAGACAGGAAGTCAGGTTCTGAGAATCCACGGCTCCTCAGGAATACAAAACGATCACAGACGAGCGCCGAAGCAGAAGACAGGACGACCACTGTCTCTCCTCGGGAGAGCCGGTGCTTCCAGGGACAGCCGGGCTGCTCTGTTCAAACGCTTTAGCATGCAAGGGACGAGGCACCCGAGGGGGCCGAGGACGGTCGATATCAGATCCTCACGGGGAACCTTTAAGGAAGGAGCAGGGAAAACTGAACAGTTCTGAGTTTTTCACAGGTTCTGTGGAACAATATTCCAGATCTCACAACTGGAACAATAGGGGCGACTGGTTTTAGACAACAAACTGTTGTGAGAAACAGGTAAGTGTTGTAAGCATTTCACCCGGTTTGATTTTATCATTATTCGTTTATTATTCGTTCTAGTGAACCGGTTTCTCTTTATTCTTTTCTTCCACACATTTGTTGGTGTTCAACTACTTCTGAATACAAACCGGATTCCAAAAA